TTGTATGGCCACAGTATTGATTTAGAAAATGCCACTTTAGTTGTATTCATCTGTCCATTTTTCTCTTAGTGGCATTAACCTAAGTCAGACCTGTCTTCTTTTGATCAAAGTCATTTAACAAAAGCAGATTGAAATAACAAGATTTTCTTAAATTGGAGTAGAATGTGTTCTTATGTTTAGCTCAACTCTATGGGCAGTTAAGCACTGATGTTTATTTTTAAATTTTTAGTAAATAGTAATAATAGAGATAAGTTAGATTTGTCCTTTTCTGACCTTAGAGAAAGCATTTTTTTTTTTTTTTTTGTACTGGGGATTGAACTTGGGTCCTCATGCTTGTGATGCCCGCGGAGGAAACACTGAACTAAATCCCTGGCCCCTGCATTTTTTCAAAGAGGAAAGAGTTTTATGATACTCATGAAGGAAATAGACCAGAGAAATAGAAGCCAGATGTGTAACATTTACAAAGAATTCTTCAGTAAAAGGAAGAGAAAGCTGTATTATGGGTTAAGATATTAGGTTTCAATTTGGTTCTTAAAATGTAGCGTGTGAAAAATTCAGACTCCAGGTCCATGAAGCAAAAAATCTGAAGTACTTTTTATAATATAGGGCTCCAGAACATGCATTTGGGGAAATGTTGCAGAAAATTCTTTTGCAGGTGATGGCTATATTAGGAGAGATACTAATTTAAGTGAGTTAAGGAAAGGAAAAGGAATTTGAATTGAATACCACAAAGGTGATAAAATACGGATGCCGGTGTATGTGTATGTGGAGGGGGCATGTGATGGGGCGAAAAGTAATTGTATTCTGACTACCCAGGGAGGGTTGAAGCTAGAGCAGAGGTGGTGAACACACGGTACAGATGTTGTTTTTCTTTTAAGACAAACGATGTTAATACAAGAGTTGTTTTTTCTAAACAGAAGCCCAATATTCAGGTTCAATCACAGCGTTGACACTTTGTGATAAATAAGTGGGTTTTGGGTGGCAGTCCAGACACTCATCTCTGAGAGGTTTTCCAGCACTAGGCCAGAGGAACTGCAGAAACTGGAGATGATGAGAATAAAATGTGAGGGTAAACTGAAAATTAGCAGTGTGAACAGGGTCCTCTGATTGTCCCCCACAGTGGACTGAAGTGGCCAGGCCATGTGCTACAGTCATCTCTCAAAAAAACTACTCCCACATAATGACCTCAGTGACCATTCCCATGGAGGGCATCATTGTGCTGTGGAGAGAGAGGCACATTTCCCTTGCATAGTTGGCTAGCAGTGCCCAGTCTTTCCTAAGTGACTCCTCATAAAAGGAAAAGAGCATGATCTATGGGAAGGTGAACACTAGAGTATCCTATCACCTTGAACCATAGAGAAAATAGATGCCCCATCTTCACTGCACTTAATTTAGTTGACATTTGTGCTATGAGATGGAGAATAAGTGCTTTGAGAAGCATTCTGATAAGAATCATCCTCCTTCTAGATTAGAACCCAAAGCGCTCATCAAAACTATTTCTGTTGATCTCAATTTCCCAAATTGTACATCGGATGGAGTTTATAAGAAAAGAAAGGTAATCTTGTGTGTGACGAACAGCAGTTTCCCAAGGTTTTGATTGCCAGATTAAGATCAGTTTAGATTCTCTCAATTAAAAGAAGCAAAAGAGCAAATGGTTGACAGAATTCTTTTAAAGGGTACTTTATTTCTTTGAAAAACTTCCAGTAAGTTAATTCAGTAACTGCCGCTACAAGTTACAAATCCAGCAAGAGGATGAAGAATATGAAACCCAGCAACCCTGACTGTCAAGTATTTCAGTCCGTGGTTCTTAGTTCCTAAGCCATATTTCCACCTAAGCCTGGGCAAAAATATGAATCTAATTTAATATAACTTGTCACAGTGGAAGTGACCTTTGGCTTCCAACACAAAATAAATCTCTGAAAACTGTGGTAAAGACAAATAATTAAAAGAGCAGAGAATCAATAGCACAAGCAAACAATACAGGGCAGGTTTAATAACACTGAGATTTGTCATGGGTAGAGAAAGCTACCAAATAGGGAGTGGGGGTGAGTTAAAGACAATACATCTCGAAAGTACTCCTAACCAATTAGAGGATTTCTCCAGGTTTCCCCTTCATGATTTTTAACTCAACTCATCTTCATCAATATGGAACTTTTCCAATGTGAGGATACTGTATTTATACATCGGTTGACCCTATCACACTGAAGGTCAAAGGATTTCTGGGTGGCAACAGTATAGTTCATTGTGAGAACAATCCTGTAACAGCTTGGCCTCCGCTGCCCCCTGGTGAAAAAAAACTAATGTTTGTAACAAAATAATGAAACCCTGGATTGCTCTCATACTGCTGTCCGTAAATTCTTCACAAATGGACTTATTATTTCCTATCATAGTCCCTACACGCAGGCCACAAAAGCAAAGTTTGTTCTTAAGTGGTTTTTTTTTTCTGTATTTTTTTTGTATGTGGGTTCTTTCCCTGTGAAATGAGGGGAGTCATACATACCAGAAAAATACAGTGAGGAAAATGAATACAAATATATCAGGTATGACACTTACACATAAAATATGTTGGTGTTGGAAAGGAATTAAAATAATTTATTGCAAGATCGTTTTCATGGACCTGGTTGAGAGTATAAGAAAGTGACATTTGCCTTGCACAATAAATATTGTAGGGCCTGTGGCAATGTGAATTTATATGGTGGCCTAAAAGTAATAGAAATCACTGTTTTTATAAAGTCCAAAATTCGGCTCATACTGGGTCCTTGTTTCATCACTTCTCTGCATTTTGCACTCATGGAAAACTGAAGCTCAGAACATTAAAATTTGCCTTCTGTAGCCACAAATTGTTTTACATATAACTCTAGACTGGAGGCTGCAGTCTTTCCTAACCCTGGCAAGTTTGAATAAAAGTTATCTGAAGAATAAGATTAGAAAATGATCAGAAATTAGTTTGGAGATAGAGATTGGGATAAGATGGACAACTTGCTTGAAAATAGGATTTGTAAGCAGTAAGACATTTCTGCAATGTTGTGAGCATGTGAGGCTCTTTTAGAAGAAGCTCTTTTAGGAAGGCCAGATGGCAATTTGTGTCATTTATCTTGGAGAAGAGAGGCAAGCAGGGAGGAGAGACCCCATAGAAGGCAGTTGTAGCTCATGTAGAAGATGTGAGGCTGCGAACTTTGGAAAGGAAGGGGTAGCTTTTCAAAGTGAAAACTGAAAGGATCAGGGAACTCATTGAATTAAAGGGCAATAGAGAGAGGAAATCAGGAGTGACTTCACAACTTCGCAAAAGGGATGACATGAAAAATAAAGTTACTATACTCACAAATCTTCTCATTTGCCTGGGCTACGTAATTCATATTGGTCAAAAATTAATCCTACCTGCTGTTTTTTTTTTCCCCCTGCTTGTCAACAGAAATAATCCGTCTCTTCTTTTACAAGTTCCAGAAAATTTGTCAAATTATCTGTGAACCTCAAAATATAAGCCCAGAATTTAAGGTAGTCTAATAAAATGATAGATATCACACATTTTAGTTAGCACATGTTTCCAGTAATGTGCTAAACTGGATTTTAAAAATAATAGATAGGTGAGATTTGTTTGTTTGTATTTCCACTGGTTGAGATTTGACACAGAGACCTGTGCATGCTAGACAAGTGCTGTACTACTGAGCTACACACCCACCTAGACCATATAGGTGAAAATTTAACCCCAAACTAAATCTCAATCATCTACAGATGACCAGTGACAACATAAATATGAATAATTTAAAAACCCTGCTAATTTTTATTTTTATTTTATTTTTATTTTTTTGTGGTACCTGGGATTGAACTCAGGTCCTTGCACTTGCGAGGCAGGCCATAGAACCGCTGAGCTAAATCCCTGGCCCTACTGCTAATTTTTAAATAACTCTATTCACTTTCCTCTAAACTTCTTGAAAGACAAAACAAATGAAACAGTCATGAAGTTGCTGATGCAATTGATATTTCCTCTTTCTTGTGTAAATCATCTTGTGATAATAGAGTAGGTCCATAAAGCAAAGCTTCTGCAACACTGGGAGAAACAAGGAAATTGAGTGAGTTAAATACTTATTACTGTTGTACCGGTGAATCTGATTTAGTATCCAAATCAGAAGCCCATATTTGGCCTTCCCTAGCCATAGGTTCTGCATCTATGAATTCAACCAAGAAATATAGAACTTGCAGATACAGAGAGCTGTGTAGAGATAAAGACCTGTAGGCAGGGAAAGATGAGGGACCCAGAGTTCAGATAGCTGGCAGAACAGGCATAAAGACCCAAGCTGACAGCCTGCAGGTGCACCTCCTCTTCATGCTGTACCTTGTAAAGCTTGGTTTGCTAAGATAGAAGGGAAAAAGAACCTTGACCCTAAGGTGTAAAAGGCCCCCAAAAGACCTTTGCCTGTTGTCCCTAGTAATGAGCTAAGTCAACCAATTAACCAATCAAATATGGGGCATCCTCAGCCCAGAGAGAGGATAGGCCCTCGGCTACTATAAAATCAATATCGTGAGCCCCCTTCAGCAGTGGCTCCATTTCAGGCACCCCTGCCTGTCTCTCTGAGAGAAGGCAGCTGACCTCTTGCATGCTTGAGGAATAAAAGTACAAATTTGCTTCCGTGCTTCCGGTCTCTTTCTGATTGTTTCACAACCTTCTGCATCATCTGGAGAGTCAGGCCCGGGACAACAGGGACTCGCCTCCTGTCTCTGCCTGTGACAGACAACTGTATTTACTTTAGAAGGGATGAGAAGGAAATCATTTAGAAGGTTTCAAGAAAAACAATTTTCAACGTTTAGAAAGTGGAGAATACTATTGAAGGCATGGTCTTCCCTGCCCCATACCTCCTCTCCAATGGATTAAAACATTTTGTTACTGGGTGAAATTATTCTTTCCTCAAGAAACTCGCAGAAAACCGACTAACTACCAAGTGAAGATGCCAGTCCCTTACCTGCATCTACTTCCAAGAACTCACTATGTAATTTTTGTCTAGGACCCTCTGAAGAAGAGTTGCCTTTCAGACAAGTGAGGTGTACCTTGCCTCCAAAGAGAAGAATCCTTGAAAAAACCAAACGGGAAACATGGCTGCAAGAAAACTGGGAAGACTGCATGGTGAGAACTTTAAAACAAAGCTTATATTCCCCAGTGAGTAAATTATGACACCACTTTTTTATGGGCCAGTTATCCTTGTAAGTACCAAGACTTTCAGCATCTTTTCAGAGCTTTCTCTAAATTTCAGTATTTGGGTTGCTTCTGTTTTTTTTATCTTTCTCTTCACCAAACATGTTGTATATACTCTAAATTTTATATTATGCAGGTATTTGCCAAATTTCTTGGCAGGGGGAGTTTAAAATAGTTGCGGGCCAGGGATTTAGCTCAGTAGTTCTGCCACCTGCCTCGCAAGCACAAGGTCCTGAGTTTGATCCCTGGTACCACAAATAAATAAATAAATAGAGTTGATAGTGAAATTGCTCCTTTTGATTTAAAAAAAAGAAGTCCAATTTTGGACAGCAATCTATATGAACAAGCTTATGATGCAACCCGGAATCTCTTGAATCATATATCAGGGCAGAAGTTTTGACGATGTAGGGCAGCCATGCTGATCTGAACAGAACTACCTTGCAACAAGTCAAACTTGTGCTGAAAACCATTAAGCCAACGGCACCACTGACACTGAAACACTCCCTGAGGTTAGTTGGCCCGACCACTGGGAGGCTGTGTAGCTGTGGCCTCAGGGCTGCTAGCTAGCTAGGTTAAGTCATATTTGGACAGAAGATTGAAGATGTAACTGAGCAAGATAAGCATTGGTAGCAATAAAAGAATAGTGCAGCTTTTTTACAAAATGAAATGAAGTGATCAAGTCATAATTAAACATGAGTTTGAGACCTCCCTTTAGGATTTTTGTCCCTCCTTTGCTGCACAGAATGACCTTGTATGTCATAAATTATAAAACTAGGCAGTGAGGAGGAGCTTCAGAGAGGGTCTCATCTGGTTCTCTCCTTTTTTTTTTTTTTTGTGGTGCCAGGGATTGAACTCGGGTCCTTGCGCATGCAGGGCAGGACACCAAACCACTGAGCTAAATCCCCAGCTGGTTCTCTCCTTTAAGGAGGAAAAAGAAGTCCAGAAAGAAATAATTTTCCTGAGGCTACACAAGTTGTGAAAGTAGAATATCTTATCCTAGTACAATGCTTTATTTTTTTAAAAAAAATATTTTAATATAATAAATGGATACATGTGACTCTTTAAAAATTTGAATCATACACCTATGGGTGTATTTTTAAAATGTGAACAATACATTCAAAGCCTTGACCTCCAGTACCATGACTCTCCTTACTGGTTGTCATTTTGGTATTTACAAGCATTTACTCTTTATGGCTTCATTTTAAAGCACGGAAACATCGTAAAAGCTAATGGAGCCTTGCTAATTAAGGAAACTTAACCTTACATTAACTATACTCTAAGAGAATGGCTAAACAAACTCTACACTATCACAGAAAACTTAATTGTGAAATAATAGTAAAAAAGAAAACTCTACGGAGGGGACATTTAATGCATATATGATAGATATAAACTTACCATTTCTTAAGTTTTATTTTAAAATGAAGATCTTTTATAATTTTGGAAGTGCAATTTGAAGTATCACTTTTTCGTATTGTTGAAAAATATCAAGACCTTAGTCTTTCTAAAAATAGTTATCTTTATTTCTTTAAGTAGCAAATTATTTTGCCTCAATGTCTTTAAAAGAAGATTATCAACCTATTCATAGTTTCTACTGGCTGCAGTGGTGGTAAAATGTGAGCAAGAAAGTCAAGCTGAACTTGAGGAACAGTATTTTCAAGAGCAGTGTCACTGCTAAGAGTGGTTTTAATTTTCTTTGCACCAAGTTGACTAATATTAAAAGTAAAAATAAATTATCCACTGCATTTGAAATGTGCAAACACATTTTTAGGTATGTATTTCTAGTTATTCTAAAACAAAACAGTTTTCATCTTTTAAAAAACTTTCAAATAGTTTTTATCTTTTAAATGATGCTACTTACTCTGAAATTTTTATAGATATGAATTCTAAATATTTCTGAGAGGTTAATGATAACTAATCACTGAAGCTAGAGATTCTCAAAGAGAAATACCCTCCCCACTCTGTACCATACAAGCATGCCAGAATAAGTTTGAGGATCCTGTCCTCTTCCCCTTCATGTCCCACTGAAAACTTCTTGTACCAGTGAGTGATTGGGACCAAGACCTTTGCCTCCTCGTATACTGAGAATCCCTGCAGAATAGCTGAGCTTTTGACTGAATGTGTACTATGAATTTCAAAAAAAGAAAGAGATGAAAACCACTGGCTGAAATAATATATACAACACATTTTAAATTAATAGCTACTTTCAATAATGGACATAAACTGACGTTTTAAATTTGCATTTCTTTTTACCTTTAGAATTTGAACATATCATTTCAAGATTTGGGGGATCCTTATCAAGTTGAAAATTTTAAAAGGATTCTTAGAAGATTAATTCGAGTTGAAACCCTCTGGTTAATGGACAATTCACTGGTGGATCTAAGTGCCATAAGATTGCCGAGGTATCTAATTACCGTGTCAACATTAAGACTTTGTTATTTGAATATATGTGACCACTGCGTATACATACTGTGTATCACCTTATGTGGTCAGGTCTGACGAGCGATGCCTTCACCAAAGTGGCATAGTTGGCAAGACAATAAAAAAGTAATATTAATAAATGTCACATCTTAGAAGGAAAAATCTATATTTTCCAAATTAGTAATTTATTACTAATTGTTAGGAGAGTAATTGCAATAATAGAAACTATGAACAAAAAATGTCATTTTTCTTGTGTTACACACTGGAAAATGCAGCTGCATTACATATATATTATTATAGTTGTAAGATAGCAATGTTTAGCTAGCTGTACTTACAGCAGCCCTGTGAGCAAAGACTCAATAAGGTAGTTAACAAGAGTATTAGCTTCAGGGTTCTATTCTAATGTAGGAGTGAGATTAGTAATACAACTGAAAGTTTTAAAATTATTCTAGACCCATTCATCTTTGATCAGCCAAACATACCAAATTGCAACTATTAAAGATACTCAGCTTTTCTGCTCAGGACTGTGGCAGAACACTTTTTATAATGAGCTTCTGTTTGCTTCACAGGGAAGAACAGGTAGGAAGAGTAAGTTTTAGAAGCAGTGAGACAGTGAGGTCCTTCATAGTGAATTAGGAGATGCAGCCTAGACAAAATGGGAAGGGAAATTCCCAGCAATAAAACAGTATCTGGGCTACACAAAGAGACAGAAGAGGGATCTCAAGCAAGCAGACAGATGATGTATCAGAATATGCATCCCACCAAATGTACCCATCTGGCATCCAGGCCCATCTTTTGCCATTTTCAAAGTCCTTCTAGAACTTTAAATTACTGCAATATCACGTGAATTTATTTCTGCTCTTTTGAAATAATTAATTTAAAAATACCTAAACAAAACATTTCAAAGCAAACTTTAAGGCCAGATATGGTTGTACATATCTGCAGCCCTAATACTTGAGAAGCTGAGGCAGGACGATTGCCAAGTTCAAAGTCAGCCTGGACTACATATGTGAAACTATCAAAAAGAAAGTGGGGGGAGACAGACAGAGAGAGAAAGAGAGAGAGAGAGAGAGAGAGAGAGAGAGAGAGAGAGGAAGAAAGAGGCATTATGTCTCCATAAATTTTTAAAAAATCAATATTATTTGATATCAACTTATCTAGAGAATTTTTGGGAGAGGTGGTTCTCTTTTTAGTTATGTACTGGGGATGTAATAGTGATGCATTAACTAGATTTTTTCTAACACACATTGAAATGAATGTACAACTGAAATATTTTGGTGATAGTATATATAGTATAATTCCATAGCATAATTTAGAAACAGTGAACTAGAAGATCATTTACTTGGAGTATTTGAATTTGACTTGATTCAAATTAACAGACTTTTAAAATCTTTATCATTTTATGTTAAAAAAAACCCGCTGTCATTAAAAGACTCAGTTTTCTTGTTTAGATACTCTTAATATTTATTTTCTTTATAAATAGGACACACAATATAAAATTATCCAATTGCAATTCAAATGTTACAGTTTCAAAGTCAATATCTACAGGGAGAAAAACAATTGATATGTCTTCATAGTTTCCTCTCCTCGCCCAGAAAATTTGTGCTGCAGCCCAATAGGCAGGTAGGTCCATGCCTGTTTCCCATCATATCCTACAGCCTGGGTCTATCTGTGATGGAATGATTCTGAGAAAACGAAAGAATAACAGGACATACATCAAAAAGTGAGTGTGTGATTGATAAACAAGAAAAGAACAGATTTCAAAAGAGAGTGGAGACAGGGCAGACCAGCAGGAATTACCTGGGCTTTGTTTCCAATTAAAAATTATCTTAGGACAAAGATATTCCTAAATATTGTGTGCAACCTGGAAAATAGCAGAAGTCAAAATCATCAAGGATATGATTAGAACTATATCAAATGCCCATTAGGAGAGGAACAAGAAGGAAACAAGGAAAATGAAAATAATGCACGTGAAAAAATGGGAATGAAATCTGATGATTCAGACTAAATCTGTTTTTCTCATGCCTCTGTGCTGCAGTTCTCTCTGGAAAGTAGTCTCATTCTATCATTAGCAATTATTATTTACCACATGTCGTTGTAGAAGCCAAGGTCCCTAAAGAAGTACCCTATGTTTCTCTTATGGTGTTAAATTCCAAGTTATATATAAATAATTTTTTTATGGCATGGTGCCAGTGATAGATTTTGAATTATTTTCTCCATTTGCAGTCTTGTATAATTATGATTTTAAGGCAAAAATATTGCGAGGCATTATCTACCAGGAAAATGTATTGAACTTAAATTGCCTAATATTCATTCCCCCCGAAAGATACTTCCTAGCTTTCCTTTATATAAAAAAGCTTTCTTTCTGATTTAAAATACTATATTTTAAGTCAGATATATAGAACTCAATATAGAACATTTTAAATACAGAAAAGGCAGAAAGGAAAATAAGAATTTCAATACTTAGATGCAGTATTTCTCAGAAGTTTGTTTATTTTTTTGTGTACACTTTTATATAGAAAAGAGTATATAAAGCTCTTCATACTTTCATTCAGGACATATCAAGATTCTAAAATAGGGGCCGGGGATTTAGCTCAGTGGTGCTGCTGCCTGCCTGAAAAGCACAAGGTCCCAAGTTTAATCCCTGGTATCAAAAAAAAAAAAGAAAGAAAAGAAAGCAAAAAAGACTCTAACATGGGTTCAGCACTGTGCTAGATACTCAGTTGGTACATTGGCAAAGAAAGCTGATTCCTGTGCGCATTATGTCATGTATATTGGTAATTTTCTCTTAATATTTAATACTATGATGCATTTGTAGGATGCATCAGTATCACTGCATGAAGAGCTCATGTTCTGGGTGATACATGCTAGTCCTGGGTAAGATATGGTGGTAAAAGTATCCTCTTTAATATTTTAAAGCCTGAAATGTAACAAGCTCTTTATATTTTGTATTCAGCTGCAGAATTTTAAATATGAACAAAAACTATCTCACATCTTTCAAACAATTGCCAAAGATACCTCGGATACAGCATTTATCCCTGGCTGAAAACCACATCGAGACCCTGGCTGGACTCTCCAGTTTACAGTGCACCCCATTAGAATCCCTTATACTCACAAGGAACCCTTGTGAGTTTCACCAAAATTATAGAAAAAGGTAAGGCCCCAAGTGTCTGAGTAATTCTCTGAACTTCATGGAATACTATACTTTCAAGCATTTTTATATTACTCCCTTCTTGTTTAAATTCACTTAACAATTTTTATCACACATCGAGCACCATGCTTCTAATACCTCCCAAGTAACTTTGAAGTAATCTTTCTTCATCTTAATATTTTTATCTTTATTACATTTTTCTCTCTTGGTTGCCCTATAATTACTGTAAAGATTTAAGGCTCCTTTTGTAGTATGATTTGGCATATACAAAGATAGATATGTTATTTTGTGCTTTGGAATTCTATATATTTTCTCATGTGTGACAGATATTATGCCTTTTAAATTTTTTCTAAATATAGATTCTTATAAAGTTCTATGGGACAGTGTTTTTTTTTTTTTTTTCTCTTTACTCTTTGGTTTTATTTTCACTCCTTTGGTCTGTAACAGTGCCACGAGGTAAATAAAACACAGTAATTGAGTCAATCTCCTCTGTAGTTCAAAGAAGTCAAACACCTTCCAGAAAGACACTGTTTGTTTCATTTTGTCACTGTTGTGGACGTCGCTAATGAGAATAATGGAATCCAAACAACCTTAACTTGTGTACCAAGTCAAATGCCCACTGAATTTGGCAGCATTCCTGTTGCTGGGACATAATACACACCACCCACAACTTAAAGGAGGACAGATTTAATTTGGCTCATGGTTTCACCAAATTCAGTCCCTGGTTGGCAGGTTTCAAAGAAGAAACCTTATAGCCAAAGAGAGCACCAGAGAAAAACTGATGTCTTCATGGCAGCCAAGAAGGAGAGGAGGGAGAGGGCCAGACAGGAAGAGGCCAGGGACTACATTTCACCCAAGGCAATGTCTCCATGACACATCCAGACACAGGAGAAGTGTGCTTTATGAATGTGCTAGTTATAGTAATACAATCAAATTGCCATATTATGGTTAATTGTCAGTCTATCTTTTTGACATCCCAGCACATCTCCTTAAATCATACTTAATCTCCAAATGAACACAATAATAATGTTTCACTTAAATGATACAATTATCTTGCATACAGCCAAAACTGCAGTAATCTCTTTCTCAAAATTTTACTATTTTTCAAAAGCCCCAAAGTCTCTTTTGTGGCAAACTCTTAGGCCTGTATCATTGTAAAAACCCAAACCAAGTCACATAATCCCAAGGTACAAGGGCATGGGGTGAACATTTCCATTTCAAACAGCAGAAATGGGGCCTAGAGAAGTGGACCAAAGCAAGACTTAAACACTGCAGAGCAAACATCCAGGACACAAGATGGTGAGATGGTTTCAGTCCACATAACCTCTCTTTTTCGGCTGGCTTCACTCATACCCTGCACTTTTCTCAACAGACATTCGTTTTCCTGGTATCTTCAACTTGTGGGGGCTCCATTGTGCCTTTTAAATTTTTTCTAAATACAGATTCCTATAAAGTTCTATGGGACAGTGGTTTTTTTTTTATTTTTTTATTCTTTGGTTTTATTTTCACTCCCCCACCTTCACACACTGTCTTCTCATGGAGTCCTTTCCTAGCCTCCCAAGGCTTTCTTTGAAATCTGGGTGGATTTCCCTAACACTACCACTCTATTCTCCATGCCGGTAAAACCAGCATTATGTGGACAATGTCATAGTCACTCCCGGATGGAGCAGTAGCTAGACCCCATTAAGCATAACTGCAATGGATTCTGAGTACTTGGATAGCTGAGAACAGTGAAATGAATCCCAGGAAAACAATTCCCTGGGAGGCCCTTCTCAAGCAAGCATCCAAGAGACTCTCATCTCAAATGAAATGTTTAGGGTCGGGATTTAGCTCAGTGGTGCCATGCCTGTCTCATAAGTGCGAGGTTCAATCCTCAGTACAAAAATAAATAAATAAATAAATGAAGGGGTTACACGTTTGCATCCACGAGCCTATTGTGCCCACAAAGCATTTTTCTTCCTGCCCTTTATTACGTACCTAGTTTCTTTTAATAACACTAATCTCTCTAAGAACCACACCTCTTTTGGCCTCAATTCACACATAGTTCTATTTGAGCCAAAATTTAGTTTTTCACATTTTTCTGATTTTTGTCCCAAGTTCTCACTATAAATCTGACTAAAAGCAGCCAGACACACCCATATTATAGCCTGAACACTGGGCTGAGCATTTGGCTACCTTGAAATTTCCTGTCAGATTACTTACTCTATTGCTCTTCATTTCAATGTCTGCAAAACTTTTAGGACATGAGGAAAATATAGACAATTTTTTTGTCAGAGTGTAACATGCAGGCTCTCTAGTCCAATTTTCGATAGCGTCCTCATTCCCAGCTGAAGCCTCTTTACTGTTTATATTCCTATCATAATTTCATTCTTTTGAGCTCTGACCAGCTTTTCCCATCAAACTCGGTTGACAAATAGGGCTTCTCCAGCCCACATCTCCAAAGCTTTCCAAATTCCTCCTGAAAACCAGTTCCAAAAGCTTCTGAAACTCATGGTCAGTTATGGTCTCATAAATGACCTGTATACTCGGAATGGTAACAGTTTTCTGTATTATTCAGGTGTACCATTGCTGATATTTTGCTCCAGCAATGGTATTTGGATTTATGGTCCAGGAGGATTCAGTCCCTGGTCACAGGCTTCAAAGCAGAAACATCACGGCCAAAGAGCATGGTGGAGCAAACCTGCTTAGTTCACGTTGCTTGGGAAGCAAAACAAGGGAAGAGTGCAGGAGAGGATAAAACCAGGTGCTATGTACAGTACCCAGTGTCATGCTTTATAACCTACTCGGATACCCAGAAGTGTGCTTCTCTAACCCACTAGGCATTTTAATTCAATCAAGTTGATAATCGGGATTAATAGTCACAAATACCTATTTATCTCTAGCTGATTTTCAGCATCACCATTAGTGTATTTAAAGTAATTAAAAGGTCCAGAACAAGCCACTAAATTCTAAACTTCTTCAGGTCATTGCATCTCAGATGACTGCATTTTACAGAGTCAGATCATCTAGGGTCAGCACATTTCCACTCTTTAGTCCTTCATCTACATCCAGTTTAGTACATAGTATAGAATAGTATAGTACTGAGGATTTGGACCGGACCTGCAGTGATCCTTTATGCCACATTCAGAATCACGTTAAATATAGTTTTTCTTGATCATTGTTGTGTAGAATTGGGACCGTTTTTCTCTTCCTCCTTTGCTTCATATCCTCCAATTAAAAATAGCGCAATTCAAAAGAGAAAGGACTTAATGATTGAACTTGTAGTGTAAATCCCAGTGTGCAATCAGGGTAGCCCCGATTCCTGGGACACCCACACACAGAATTCTCTGACCATTTTCTAGAAATCATTTTGATATTGCATCAGTGCTGCTTGATATTTTAAAAACAAAAATGAGGAGTACCTAAGAGTTCCTGCTAGCCATGCATAAATCTGGGCACTGGAACAGGAGAATTTAGATTTTAATCTTTACTCTTCACCTCCAAGCTTTATGATTCTGTATAAGTTACTTGAAATGGGGAATAATAGTTAATCTTACAAGGTTATTGGGTGGAGTAGTGTGCAGCTTTTAGAAAATCAGCCAGAAATGGAAATTTTTGAGGCAGTTCTGAACTGACCATTACTAGCTGGCAACATGTCCACTGAAACGTTTCAGTCTCTTCCATCCAGCAAACTTGGATGCCAGATTCTTCTGGCCTGAGTGTCAGAATTATCATATCTAAGAAACTTGTCCATTTGAAAGTCAATCTCCTTTATAACACCGCTATGAATTAAGCACCGTTTAAATGGAGCCACCTGACAGAACTTTCTCTGAACCTGGCCATAGCTAAATGTGAAACCTGAGATTCAAAAGTGCTCCCTGTCAAGAGAAAATAACTCAGCACAATATTATTTTCCCACACCTTCTTTTATACCTCCCAGCTATCACTAAACAATATAGACTTTCTTTGCTCCATTTTTCTTTTAAAACTTTTAACTTTATAATGGGTGCATTTGTCATGATCCTTCTTTTAGGATTAGTTGACTAAATCCATGCATTGATTTTTTTTTCTTTATAGGCCTTGTAAAAACAGAATAAAATTCTCTCATAAAAGCAGATTGTATGCAGTCTTACTTCTCTGATCAATATGTACCATCTGCTAAAAGACCTGTTAGATGGCCTGAGAGGACAAACTACTGCAGAGTCAGCTCAATTAACACACATAATACATTTTATTTAATTCCACTGCAAAGAAGAAAGTGAGAGCCACTCATCTTTCTTGTAATAACAGGCAAAGGCCAGTAATTTATGAAGAATAAGCAAAATAAAATCAATTTTCAACGTAGTTACTTTATTTTTTTATATTTTTGCTTTAGGGTGTTCTCCTGCTTGCCAAACTTAAAGATGCTGGATGGGATCTTGAAGCTACCAGAAGACTGTTCATCACCAAAACCCAGTATTTTTTCAAAAATATGTATTATATCTTAATGCAATGTATATACAAAGGAAGCGATCACCATTACTGATAACAGCTAACAGATGCAGGAAAAGCATGATTAAATGTTCAAGTTTTAATCAAAGTAGGAAAATATTTTCTATAAAGGACCAGATAATAAGTAAACATTGTAGGTTTTGTTGGCCATATGGTCATTGTTATAAAGACTAACCTCAGCCAATGTAGCACAAAACAGCCATAGAAGATATGAAAATGTATAGCTGTGGCTATGTCCCAATCAAATTTTATTTGTAAAAATATGACAGAGTAGTTTGCTAAACTCTGCCTTAAATTTTAAGGCCATGTGGCTGGTTGCACGACTCTTTACCAATATCTATTTGTCTTCTCTCGAAGAACTGTACATTTAGTAGCTTCTACTCCTTGAGTCAAACTTGTCAAACAACTTGCTTTGACCAGTGAAACATAGGCGAATTTGAGTTAGGTCCCTTTAAGTCAGACGTTCTGATAACCTGTTTGTATTTTGTCATATTTTCTTTCCTCGTGTCAGAGCAGCGGGCAAGCTTCCAGAATAAAGGTTCACCACTGATATATGGGGCCTGCAGTGACCATTATAAGGAGGAGAGCCAGTTATCCTCCAGAAGACATATAGTGAGAGAGAAGACGGCTGTGTTATCAGTCTTTGGGATTTCATGTTGTTACACTGTAGCCTCACCTCCCCAGTCAACACTGTAAATGTGGGGACTGCAACAAGCCTTGTTTAATTACATGCCTCCATACCTCAGAAATAACATAGCAAAACCACAAAATGGTGAATATGGATAAATGGCTATTGTATAAAATCATTAATGGTTAGCAGAACACAACTACTAGAGTTTATGTGAAAATTAGAAAAACCCTAATTAGGGTAATAGAATTGGAAGTAGAAGTTATGAGGGAATGGAAACTTGGGGAGTTATGATAGCCAATAAGGCTTTTATTGTTTAAGCTAGCTTAAATTTGGTTTTCTGTAACTTGCAGGCGAAAAAAATTCTGACAAGAAAAATCATGAGTTTCATATAGAGAGGATTAGAGGTGCTGGGTTGCTGCACTTGACTCTGAGAAAGAATGGCTATGCTCACTAGGGAGAGTCTCAGTGTGTACATAAATATTCCTCAGAGGCAGCCTGCCCCAATGCTGCGATCTCCTATTCTATTCTGAACAGGTACAGGCTCTCAGGAAGTGTGGCCAAAAGGGGTTGATTTAAGGTGTTGATGCTTCTCTACACCAAAGGGCAATTTAGTAGAGGAAGGTCTATGAACTGAATAACATCAGACCTAAAATTTAGTCTTCCCCCCTAGCTGTAGTGGTGGGAATTTCAGTGGTCAATAGTGATGACATGTCCATTAGTTGCATTGCTGTCGTTTCAAAGTGTATCTATTCACTTGATCTTTACCTTCTTTGTTACCTATGCATAAAATTTCCATAAATATGGCTTCATTGCTGGCAAAATTCACTGCGTATTTCTCAACAGTGTATTACTACAGATATGCTAAAGCTATAGTAAAGAATGACTCAGATCTCCTGCCATTTTCCTCCTCATGATTGATTTACAGAATATTAGGAATGGTAGGGAAAACAGAGAAGCATAATGCAAACAACTCCACCATTAAAAAATAATTCCATTGAAAAAAGCTAATTTAATGGATGGAGAAAACTTGTATCTTGTAGTCTGGCTCCTCCCTGACCCCAGTGAATGCTTGTAACAACTTTACAATTTGCAGTAAAGGATTTTCCTATTCACATTTGAATATATTGAATAGAAAGCCTCAAAATTCTTATCTTTCAGAAGTCCTTCTTTATATTAAGTTGGAAATGTGACTTCTGCAACTTCCATGTAATTTTTCAAATTTATCAAATGATTATAATTCATAATTTGTAAAGAATTTTCCTCGGCTTCAGATTTTTGGAAGTACACTGATATTTTATATTTTATTACCATGGAAATGCGAACAGTTAAACTATCATTCTATGAGGTGAGGGAAATGGAGGAAAGTTAGGGAAAAGCTAACTAAAATAAAACCAAAGAAAGAAAAATAATTTTTTTCACACCCTTTAGTCATCCAAAGTAGATGCCAAAAATGAATCTGCTTCACTAAATTTTAAAAATTGAGTTACCAAATTTACTTTTTAATTCTTTGAGCAATCATCTACTTTCAATTATTCCTATCCAGAATAGAACAATCATAATTAAGTGCTTGTCATTATACTACCAAACTGTATTAATGGAGGGTCATCTTTTTGAAGGCCAATTGCAGTCATGAGACAAAATTTCAAATTAGTTTTAGTGCTTTGGAACAGATGCATCAATATTCGAACTATACAGGTGTATGTTTACTTATCTGCTCATTTTCCATCATCAGTGGAAGTATTATGTGAGTTTTGTTTAAAATGTCTAAAGGATCACACAAAGCTTATAATGGTACTTTATATGAAAATCATAGTGAAATCTGTTGCTAAAAACATTTTAATTTTTTTCCAAAATCTCAGTGCCCTTGAACCTCTTCCTATAAAGACATATATTTGCATACATTGTTTAAAACTTACCTGTTATCTTATTATATATAACCTTCATAACTTGCCCATAAAGTAATATTATTCCTCTCATATGGTTAAGGAAACTGAGAATCAGAGAATTTAGTTTCTTCTCTGAGATCCTCCAGCTACTAAAGGTTGATTCCCAATCAGATCCTAAGGCCTCTAAACACATGATTTGCCTTTTCATCTACATTCTTTACAGTTTTCAGTACACTACGTCTTCATTTATACACATTTTCTAGAAACTCAAAGTGCATTTATTTCATCAATCAGAATGGAACTCACAGTAAGCCTCATCGGCAATTGATCACTTGCTGCCCAGTTGGCAAGACCGATGGCCAATGTAGTCAGTCGACTTCACTGTACCACTGGAGCTCATCACCACCATCCAGGTCATGTACGCAAAGCCCAGTCACTGCCCTTCTCTACTGCTGTTATCTCAAGAACTCTTTTGTGACTACAAAAGTGCAAATGCATGACAAATGTATTTCATACTAGAGGGAAGAGAAGGAGGTAGGGAAGAAAGGACAACCGTGTGTGGCGTGACTCAAGATGAAATGTGAAGCAGAAACGTGTTATTCTCTAATTTAGAGAACTGAGCAAAAACATGTAACTATGAGCTGTTTCTAAACCTCTAAACATATGGCACCATATATCTGAGCTAATCATGACAATAAGTCACGGTTCATTTTCTTCCCCAGGAGAGTGAGGATTAGAAAGAACCACATTTTTTGGTGATATAATCCTTTGCAGGTTTGTATGGGTTTGTTAAATCAGTAAGTGAACCAGATGAGTGTTTTCCCTACAAGGTTCATGTTGGGGAATAAGAAAAGTTAAGAGTAGAAATCTGGGATAATAATTTGTACAGAACTGTAGTTTTTGATAGCCAGAACATTTTTTCCCACTAAAATACCATTTAAAAGCTTGGCATTATTCCAAGACTCTCAAACGATTAAAAATGTAATTTTCACTGACAAAGACTCAAATAAAATGTACTTTTCCAGGAGGACAAAAGAGACACATGTTTTATATCTTTAAATTGTAGTGATCTAAAGGAATAATATTAACAGTCACCACCACCATTGCCACCATGGCTGCCACCACTGCTTGGCTAACACAGATGAAGAAAAGAAAGGAATTATCGAAAGAGAGAGTGCCAAAGAAGGAATGATTTTAGCAAAGAAAAATAGGAATTCTAAAGTAAACTGCACATTTTTGTACTGTTATCTTTGTAGAACTTAAGCAAGGGAAGCCACATAAAGTGGAACAAAGAACAAAGGCAAACAGAGAAATAGTAATTGCTAATGTGATCTACTACTCAACGTATCCTAAAGCAAAACACCCTTACTTACTTTCTACTTCCAAAAATTGCCTCCAGAAATTTAATCTAGTTTGTACGCCTCATCACGATTATTACCTGTTTCATACATAACTGCTCAATGTGAGTCATGCTATCACGATCTATAGAAAATGTTCTTCAAAGGTTGTAACTTCCATTTGCTCTTATATTGAATCCTTCTTGCATGATATATTAGTCAGCTATGCATTTCGGCCACCAAAACATCAGAAAAAAAAAATCTTAAACATGAAAAAGTTTATTAGGGTTTACAGTTTCAGAGGTTCCAGTGCATAGTCAGCTGGCTCCATTGCTTTTAAGCCTGTAATGAGGCAAGAACACCATGGCTGAAGGGTATGTGGCGGAAAGCTACTTACCCGGGGTGCGGGGGCATGAGATATATCCGCCAATCCATTGGCCTACTTCCTCCACGAGTCAGAGACCTCATGATCCTCCTTTAGGTCCCACCTCTGAACGCCTTCGCCATGCAAGTCTTTGGGGGACACTTCACATGTAAATTATAAGACACAAAAATCACCTTGTTGAAGATTTTTAATAGTTGAAACAACTGAATTCCAACATCATAGACATATTGAATTTTCTTCACAATTCAAACATTCTTGACAGAACTTTCCCCCTCAGCAACCATGTCAGCATGGTTATTTGCTTGTGATCAGTGTCTTCATTATCATATACTAAAGAGAATAATCCCAAATTAAGTGTATTTGCTTTTGTGCAATACATTTTTTTTACTATTTGCATCACAATTCAGTTCAGCTGACTTTTTCCTCTCCATACAAGATTTTACAATATTGGAAACAGTTAGGGCCGGGTATTTAGCTCAGTGGTTCTGCCACCTGCCTTGCAAGTGCAAAGACCCGAGTTCAATACCTGGAAAGAAAGCAGTAAGTAGCTTTAAAATTTATTTCCATGCTAAATTTAAACTAGGAATCAGGAACCACTTTTGTTGACAGAATGATCATCATCATCATTTTCAAATCACACATGCATAAAAGAATTGCCACGAAGGAATATCTGTATATTTGTCAAGTTATAATATAAAACACTTTGTTATCTGTATTTGTTCCAACTTGATTTTACATGTTATTCACTAGTTCTTGAATGTCAATCCATGATGTTATTGGTTCTTAAATTACCTTTCTGCTCCAGAGCCACCCAATGTTTCCAAGCAAAAATCTTCAATATAATCTTACTAAGGCTTGAGCAATTGTATTAGTCTAATATTATACACTACCTATAAAACACTAATGCCCAAGCCCACAACTGCTCCACACCTGAGCCTGCTGATTAATCCAGACCCATGTTTACTGATTCAAGCTTACTTATTTGCCCAAATTTAGTCCTGTTGCTGCCAGGTTAGTCATCTCCCAGATGGGATGCAGGTTGAGGGGTTAGGGACAGTTCCAAGGGTGGAGGAAATTGAGGGGATATGGAAAAAGTGCTGCTTCTCCACGTGAAGGGCAGAGCTAAATTTGGAACTACCACTGTTTTGGGAGAATGTCTAGAAGTAGCATGTGTTAATCAGGGTCTATGGAGGGTTGGGATTTTGTAGGTTTAGCAGTGGACCAGCATCCCTCCTTATCCCTTCCCTTTAGGTTCTCTCCTTGCCATTTCTTCAGAAAGTCAGCAGCATTTCTTGAGTAGTGGGGCCAGAGGAGAGGCACCGCCTTTGCCTCCTGTCAAAGCTTCACTGAGAGCAGCAATGAAATAGCCTCAGAAATGGTGGGATAACAGAGGCACTTTCCCCAGTTTAGCCTCCAGAGTCCAACTAGGGATGAAGGAAAAGAGGAGAAAGGTAATAACAGCTGCCATGTTCCCTTCCTGCTGTCACAGGAAATAGGAAAACTCAGGCTGTTTCTCCTGTCTGACACTGACTGTAGATATCAATAACGGATATAGTTTAAAAAGCTAGAAGAAAGTATATTGCAGTTTTTTATTCTGAAGAAATGATAGATGTTTGAGGGGATAAGTATTTTTAACCGGATTTTAGTATTACCTAGTGTATACTTGGTCAAAAACATCCCATGTTGCTCCACTAAGATATACATTTGCTTTTGTTTTGTTTTACATATTTATTCAATAAATTTAATTTAAATTTGAGAAGACATGGATATGGTACTTAAGAAATATTTCTCATTCGCATATAATTTAGCACATTTTTCAGTTTACCATTTCAATTTACCATTTACCTGCCATTTCTCCTTTAAAATACATTTAATTTCATACTAAAATAGATGGTTTTCTGTTATAATTTACACTTTTTCTTACTATTACCTCTTACTCTATTGTTTTATAAAAACTCTATATTTATCAGATTTGTTCAACAATTTTCATTATTCAAATCTTGTGCACTTTTATTTTAGGAAGTGTGACCTGTAGTCCCTGTCATACCTTGGAACTTTGCTCTAGTACAAATAAGAACCTGA